TGCCACCGGCCCTCCCACGGTCCGATGGCAGCCTTCACAGGAAGCCAGCTGTAGATCAGCATACGGACTGGGAAGGGTAAAGACAGCTGCCTTCAGAGACACCCCACTGCACTGAACAAAACAAGGCTGGCCAAGGGGGCCCGGGTTCCCTTGGGCACAGATAGCCCCGCCAGCTCGCTTGTCAGAGATGCAGGTGCTGCTCTTACTGGGAGTATCTTTGAGTGTGGAGCAAATTCTTTTGGCTCTCCAGAGCAGATGTCAGATCCAAGAGTAGCCTTTGCTGGAAGAAGAGGCTGCTCCCCCAGACATGGGCAAAGCCGTTCGGGATGCCAGGGGGCTTTGTCCATGCTAATTACTCACAACTAGCCTGGTAAGGAGCAGCTGAAAGCCTGAGATTTTCTCTCTTTCAACCCCCGCTTTGATAACACAGCCCTGGGGAGCACCTATCTCTGACTCAACAGAATAGCGGTTTTCAGTGATCAATCTTAATGAAGACAGGAGCCGTGATGGAGGAGACCCCAGCAACTTTGTATAACTGCAAAACACATCAGTCTTTCACTTCTAGGCTGACAGCTCACCCGGTGCCCAGGCTGGACCGCCCAAATCACACTGGACTCTGCAGGGCGCTGGGGTCTACAGGACAGGAGCCGATGTCTCAGTTCTAAGGGAAAATGTGTCCATGTCCCGAGCCCACTGCCTCAAGTGGCAGCAGCTGGAAGTCTCAGAACAGGCCATAGAGACTGAACCCACCCCAGGGCCTTGGCCTCAGCAGCGACTCCCCAGCAGGAGCAGATGAGGTGCTTTGGCAGGAACCTGGGCAGCTTGTGCCCGTGTTGGCTGGGCCGCTCTGGGAGAAGAAGAGTCAGATCCTTCTCTCGCCTGGGAGTCGAGCGAGTAGCATCAAACCAGGTGGTGGGGCAGAGAACCAGCCCTTCATCTAAGGTTTCTTTCTGCAGGGCCCTCGGTCAGCGCCTCTCGTTAGCAGCAGTGAGCACTGACCTGTCAAAGGAGGGGATGATGGGCAAAGCAAGGAAGCCAGCTTGCCAGTCTGCTTGCACGCAGCTTCAGAGACCTGATTAGGGTGGACATGACACTTCAAAGCACAGTTCTTAAAGGCTCTCCCGCCCAGCCTGATGAAAACTGATGGCTCTCCTAATTGACCCTTCAAGACACACAGCTTTCCATTTTTAAACCATGTGGCCAATATTAAGCCAACATGCAGGGAACATTATGGCCATAAGGCTTTTAGCATTCGAATGTTTACAACACATTCCTCCCCTGTGGCATCCAGACAATTAGCGGCAATTAAACTCCAGCAAAAAATGACTGAGCTGGAGAGACCAGGGCATTTGACTGTCAAGGGCAGCAGGTGCTAAAAGCAGAGAACAGCTCTCAGTGCATGCATGCATGGACCACTGGGGAATACACCAAGCTTCACCAGGGCTAGGAGGCCTCTTTGCACCCGAGACCTGCAGCCACAAACTCGTTTCCACTGTAGCCTAAGTATATTTTTTTTCCAAGCTAGACATTCAAGCCACTTAACACGTCTGAAACAGAAAAGAGAATCTCATCTCTCTATGCTCCATCTCCCTGGAGGATCCTGCCTGGTTCTGGGTGGGCTGTTGCTATTTAATATGCAAGCTCAACATACAGGCTGTGCTGTATTTTTGCAAGGGGGAGTAAGACAAGCTCCACCCACACGGACTCCCCTCGCCATGGCCAGGGCAAAGCCGCTTGCAGCTTGGTACAGCCTGTTTCAGCACGTGCAGTCATCAGCTCCAGGGGCTGCAGACACACGTGGATTTGGTAACACATGGATTTGGTAAGCTGGCTGCCTGGATACTCATCGTATGCCTGGACCTGGCCGATCAGATGCATTAGGGGAACACCCACAACTCTCTAGGGTTTGTGGCCACTGCAAGGAAGCTAACAGCCCACTGAGTTACTTGCCTTACTGCTCCTTGGGCACTGCACATGGACAGCTGAGAGCAGCAGCCGAGAGCCCTAGGTCCTGAAGCTAGGAAAAGGTCACGTACTCCAGTCCCGCGGCACTGGCGTAGCTTATTAATACCAGGCATCGTCCGATGAGCTTCCTGCTCTTCACAAACACTAATTACATCTCCAGCGCCCTGGGTATCAACATTTCACAGATGATGAACTGAGGCACAGAGAAACGCAGTGACTTTGCCCCAGGTCACACAGTGAGTCTGGGGCAGCACCAGGACCCAGAGCGAGGCCAGCGCTCCCTGCTTTACGCTCAATGCTCCCGGGGGAGTGTGGGCATTCCCCATCTGAGAGATACTACTTTCCTCTTCACTGGCAAGTACGTGGGAGGCTGCTGGGGGTCCAGCTTCTGGCATCTCCATTAAAGCATTTTTGGTAGCACTTGTAGTGACCCCGAGAATAAAGAGGGTGGGTGGAGAGGGGCCAGGACACAGCCAGCCAGCCCCTCCAATCTCCCCGAGGCTGTGCCTGTGTGTGCAGAAAGGGCCGGCGGCTTTCTGAAGGGACACAGAATAATGCGTCTCTCTCTCTCTCTGTAGCAGAGGAACAGGAACGGGAACGGAGCCCTGGCTGTCATGCAGCACACAGGGAATCAATCACTGATCAGAGGCTCAGGCTGGCGCCCTGGGAAATCCATGGTTGTACATCTCCAGCACAAGCCTTTGAAGAGTGAGCAATTTATTGGCACCTTGCAAAAGCTGCACTGTGCTTTGCTAGGGAGGAAGGCAATCATCAACCATCGCTATGCTGATCAATCGTGGTCTGGAGCTTAGGAGCTTGCCGGCCTGAGCCCTGACCCCCTGTGCTCCACAGATGACGTCAGCCCGGATGCGGTGGGGACAAGCTAGGCCGGGATGGACCCCACTGGGCACTGCCAGGATTGGGTTCCTGCAGGCCTAGCTAAGATACCTGCCTGCAGCACCAGAGCTCCTCAGCTCTTGAATGGATTTCTGCTCATGGCAGGGTCATGCTATGACTCCCCGCTAGGCAGAACCCGGACACGAAGCAGACTCGTCCTCGCTGCACCCTCGCCCCACGCTCCGCCTCGGTTCTCCCCAGGCGCAGTGCAGCGCAGAGCATGGGATGGTTTGTATCCCAAGTTGCTCTGATGAAGTCAACGCAGACCAGTAAAGTGGAAGCTGCCTGTGCTGTGATTGTGATGCGGGAGAGTCTGAAACCCCAGGGTGTTTCCTTACCCTGTAAGATTCGCTTCAGCTTCCATGTTGAGATGGATGGAGAATCGTCAGGCTCTGCCTCCCCCTGTTCCCCACTTACGCGGTCCCAAATGGCAGACAAGTGGAGGGAAACAACCAAAATCAGCACTCTAGAGGCTGAATGCTGTAGGCTTTGGTTTTTTAATATAATGCTTCAATAAAAAAGGCAACTTCGGCAATTAATTCATTTCAGAAAAGGGCTTGTGGCCACATCAGAGCAAAACATGAACTGACAGAGTCAGGCTCCAAGGCACTTCTACCCAAACACCTTTGCATTATGCACCTGGCCCCAGAGTTGCAGCAGGTTTTCTGTCTGGTCCTAGACACTACTAACATGCTTTCCATGTATTCAACAGTCAGAGATCTCCAAGCTCCCACTGCCTGGGCAAGCCTCCCTCCCTGCTGTTGTAACTTGCAATCTCTGGCCAGCAGCTCATCAGCGCATCTATCCCAAGATGCAGAAAGGCTGCTCTGACGTAAATGGAGGGTGCCTGGTGCCAGGAACGACTGGTCTTTCTTCCATTCTAGCAGCATCTGAAGCAGCACAGCCTCTGGTAAGGCTGCATCTGTGTGAAAAGCAGCCCCAGTGCTGCCCTGCCTTCTAGTACCCGGCCTTCCCCAAAGACTTCTCCCCATTGCTGGAATGCAGAATAAACTCACTGCTTCTCCTGAGATAAGCCTTGAGAGAAACTCCTCATAAGTGGGTGTGTGGTTGCAGAATGGAAAAGCCAAGGGAATAGCATTCTTTAAAGGTAAAAATCATTGCTCTTCACTTGCGGTCCTGTGGACTGAGAACAAAACTGGAGGGACTCAATGTGTGCTGCCACCATCTAAATCAGCAGGTCTTAGCCTGGCGGTGAGGAAGAGCAGGACCCCTGCCCGCAGCACCTATCAGCACAGCATGACCCCAGCTGACTTACTGCCAGGATATATCCTGTCCCAGCTGAGCCCATGTTCTCCCACACACAAAGCTGCTTCCTCAGCACACGGGGGGAGGGTAGAGATGCCACAAGGCCATGACAAACCATGGAGTGAAAGCCCAGAGAGCAATCCTGCTGGTCCCATACAGTGCCAGTGCAGATGTGAGTGACTTGCCTGCTGCCTCCCATGATCCCAATACTGCGTTGGGAAGGCTGGCGACTAAGGGGCTTGCCCAGAGTCTCAGAGGAAGTGTGCGGCACAGCAGGACCTGAATCCAGGCCTCCCACATCCCAGACTTGGGCTGCATCAGTAGCTCAGCCTCTGCCTGCCATATCTGTATCAAAAGGCTTGTTGAGAAAATTGTAAAGCCCCTAGAGGGGTGGTCCAGGGCAACCTGTCTCCATGCAGGTTTGCCTGGTTGAATGCAGCAGCTTATCAGCCAACACCACATTTCGCAGATACTCTTTGCTTCTGCTAAGTTGTAAGGCCATAGCCTGAACCACTCAAATGCTCTGTAATCATGCTCAGCTCTCCTACAAAATGCATCTGTAGCTGAACTACCATGACTGTGTCCTAAGCACAAAGCAGACTTGATCCATGTTCCTGTGTGGTATGAAGTCTGTACCAGGCGACGGGCAGGGCAAACATCTCTGTGCCCTGCCAGGGCTCAAAAAGCATACCAAACAGACTGCACGACAGCTTGAGGGCAGGTAATAAAAACATCAGTGCAAACAGAAACAAGAAAGGAAGCAAATTTAACCTCACCATTGAAAACAAACTAACGATGCAGCAAACTGGTCATTACCTCCTCCCCTCATTCCCATTTTCCCTTAATGAACTGGCTAGTTAATGGTGGTCATCCAGGGGCATACACTCACTATCGCATCCTGATAAGCAGCCTCTGCTCAGGATCTGCATCAGCGGCTGGTGTCAAACCCACCATTATTTTCCACCTTAAAAGCCTAGCAACTGGAAAACCGGTCCATACCCTCCCTCCCCCCTTGGGTTGGATTCTGCTCTCTGTTACACCAGCACCTCCACCCTTGGCTTCATGCTGGCGTTACCAAGAGCACTGAATCCAGCCCCCTTCCCATTCTGTGTTGTCATTGGCAACTACCTCGCGCCTTTCCTGCTACCTGCTGCCACAGCTTGTCCCCACGTGTCATTCGCCCTGGAACCTCGGCCTCATAGCCAGCGGCTCGCTGCCTGCATGGTTTAGGCCGCAGGTGCTTGCTGGAGGCACGCTGAGCTCCTGTAATGTGCTGCACTCAACGGGGCTGTAGCTAAGCTGCAGGAGGATGGAAGGGGGAGCCCTGGAAGGGAAAGGGAGAAGCTACACAAAGGCTAGATGGGAAAGAGAAACACTGCAGGGAAAGCAACAGAACTGCAAGCAGCTGTTGCTAAAAGCAAGTGAGTTTAAGTCTGGCCCCACGCCCTTTTTTCCAGGCCAGAAGAACAGGGTCACTGCCAAGGATCTCTTAGCACCAAAAACATTAGTTAGACCAGGAGTTTTCCGGCACCTAGCCCTCCTGTTCAATGCCCATCCGCACCCTAGATCTAAGCTGCATGTGGAGTGATCCTGCTATGGAGATGGGGAGGAAGCACTGAGCACACACACTGCCGTTTAAACCTACGGCGCTGGTACTGGTAAAGTAACGGACTAACATACTAATGACAGGTGATGCGCACTCCATGGGTCAAAGCAGCCCCCTCCTTCAAAACAGCTTCAAATGTTGTCGGAGCACACACGTACAGAGGTGGTGGCATGGCCCACTGGAGCAGCAGGGAGCTGCAGCAGGTACGCGAGAGCCTCAGAGGCTGGCTCAGACTCAGAGCAGTTCTTTAATACTATTTATATTGCGCTTATTGATTTCCAAAGCAAAGCTGCAAACCTGCTGAAAAGGGTTTGCACAGAGGGGGGCTGCCTGCTTCTCCTTTTCATGCTGTCCAAAAGCTTTACTGTCTGTTTACTCCAAGGGAAGCGAGACCACAATCCGGGCCCTGGGTATTTGCTTGGCACACGTAATCAAAAAGCCGCCATGCACCTTGCTTTCAAGGCCCTTTTAATTTACTTTGTCCTCCTCCTCTGCCAATAATACAGAGATCGATGTTGCCACTTTGCCATTCCAAGCTCCTGGAGAGAAGCGATTTGCCGCTGTTCGGCCTGGCTGGCTCAGGGTAAGACCAGCCCTGCAGGACAGTGGCAGGTCTCTGCTTTTTAAAGCACAGGCATTTCCAGCAAACTACCAGCGTGTCAGATCATCATCCTGGCTTTATTGGGGCATCTCCATTGCCTCTGGGTGAGGAACTCCAGATTCACACAGCTGTTATGTCCAGAGGGGGATGTCTCTGCGGCAGTGACCAGGTCCAGCTGGGACACTTCTAGCAGTGCAGCTGACACTGGACGGACTTCCTTGGACTAGATGCCCAAGTGCGCAGCCAGCTTCTTGGGCAGGGGTTGCGGCATTAACTCAGCACCATGCCACAGCTACTCTGGTAGCAGCCCACCCTGGGTGGGTCGGCGTGAGCTGTAGTGTAGACTTGCCCAGAGCAGGATGCGTCTACTCCTACCTGGTTGTGTGTCCCGTGTGTTCACTCCTCTCACTATGCGGCAGGGACTCCATCCCATAAGGTGCTACGCACTCCTGGTCCTGATCCGGCAGAGCACACAGTCCTGTGCTTTATACACGAGTATTGTCATTGAGGTCGGTGCCCAAGTTAAGCATGTGCTCAGGTGCTTTGGTGGCCTGGAGTCAGAGCACTCGGTGCCTGGCAGGACTGAGCCACCAAGGCAGGAGTGCAGTGATCTTAGCCTTGCTATTTCTAATCACAATGGGATTGCACTCCAGCAGTTAAAGCGGGGCAGAGAGCATGAAGGCATATGGGTGGCAGCGGCAGAGAGAGAGGAAGGCAGTGGATTTAATGGTCACTCTTTTTGGCTAGCAGGAAAACTGACTTCAAAACGTGATTCACTTTTTCCCCTTCCCCACAACAAAGCAACCCCTTCCCTCCCTGACAAGGCCCCGTACACACTCTGCATAGTATCCAACCCCAACAGGAACGGCAGGCATCAGCAACTGCCCAGGATTATCTGAACAGCTTCGCGTGTCGCCTTGAAAATGGTACGAGGAAAAAAACTTCTGCTACTGAAGCCTTCAAATAACTCCACAGAACTTCTGCAGGGCTCTGGAGTAGAGACACATAACCCCCTTTTCAAAGGGATTTGAATTCATTTGCTCCCAAGAACACTGGAGCGGAAAGCCACATTCTCGTGCTGCCTTCTATTCTCCAGGGGGTATGTGGGAAGTGGCTCAGAAGATGGAGATGCTCGGGAAGCTGCACCACAGTACATTAGTTCTGGATTTTTACCAGGAAGATAATGAGGAGAAGTATTTTGCTGCAAAAGAGGCACCGAGTGCCTCAGTACATGTGCGAGAGCTACTAAGCTGCCCCAGCAGCCCCACATCATGATGTCCTATGCTTTAAACTGAAGCAAAGCTACAAACGAATTGCATTTTCTGGCTTGTGCAACTGCACTGCTCATGGCTCAGTCTTTTGAGGTCACCCTCCTGGAAATTCCCCCTGAGGACGTGGCACTGAGCATGCGAGTACCGGACAGGGATGGGAACAGGCACTGCTCTGCCATGTGTGACATGCCCATCGTGGTTAATCATATACAGAGCCCCCGCTTTAGCTCAAGTTATGGGGGTCTTTGCTTTGGGAACAGAAGGAGTGGTTCTCGTACTGCTCCGTGACTTCCTAGTGGTTCTTCAGTGTAATAAAAAGGGGGCCGAACATTAGGAACTTCTTTGGTTTTTAACCCAGAGGGAAGTCTGAGGCAAGGACAGCAAGCCCCAAAACTCATCCTCAAAATGGCCTGGTCAAGAGTGATCAGAAACTCGGGCGGGGCTGACTGCTATGGCAATCTTCGTGCTAGGCTTGAGACCTGATCCCCTCTGGATAGATAAACTAGCTCCTGCCTACAGAGAGGCCAATGTGGTCTAAAGACGTTTGTACTACATCTCTTATTTTAACAGAGCTGACCCTACCCCTAACCACCTCCCGCAAAGCTGACATTAACCACTCTTCCACTGAAATATATCTCCAACCAGCTTCTGGCACCCATTTCACAAAACTGCTTCAAATGCACACTTCCTATTATGCTAGTACAATTTTTGAGTGCGTTAAAAGAAACCACTATAATGGTGTGACATGCCACAAAACACTCGGGACAGAACACGGTGGTGGAGAGGAACGTACAAAATCCTCAGGCAGGAGCCTACATTCTAGTCTTTGACAACATCAGGAACATTTCAAGCACTACCTAAACATTAAATGCTGCTAATTAGTGGGGCAATGGTGATGAAGGTAGGACCTGAACCGGACAGGACAGGAAGTTTTGCATACCATACCTAACGCTCCATGTCATCTGATAGGCACTGTAACTTTTCCTGTATTTAACTGCAATGCAATCCAAACTCCTCAGTAGTCTGTCATTCATCTTTACGCCCTTGCAGCCTCTTTATTGCACGCTCCTGCGGGGATGAGGTGTCATCGTCAGAAGAAGAAGGTCTTCTGCAACAGCAGGGAATAAACGGATGGAAGTGTTGGAGGGAAGCCAACAGTCAAGACTGCAAAGAAAGAAAGATAACAACCACCCTAGAAGAAATGCGGGGATGGGATGGTGACAGCCATTGAATGCCTCTCCTCTGTGCTTGGAAAATAATTTTGTTTGGGGGCTGAGTAGAGTAGGCTTCATTTTTACAAATGAATTTCAAAGATCCCCTGAGAATATCTGCCATTTTAAGGCAATGTTAGAGAGGAATAAAAACACTCCAGTTGTCAGCCTGATGTCTTCAGCACCTGATTTATTAATGATCGCTCAAGAAAACATGTTCTTGAAACTTGTGTTGGCAGCCCATTTGCTTCAGCATATTAAGTAACCATACATCTGCATGTGGGATCTTTCTCCTTTTTTCCTCGACCAAATTAGATCCTTTAAGCTGTAAAATGAACCAAGAGGGAAACATTGAAATTGGGCAGCTCACGGCCTGCATTTTCCACCTTTAAGAGCAGAGAGTTGACTACTTGTAGACTTGGTCTCAGCATGGGAAGAGAGAAGGATAGGGGGAGGAAGAGAAAACTGTAGAAGGTGACTTGTCCTTGGCAGGCTGCATTTTCAAACTAACGATAGCTCCCAAGCAAAACAATCTAAGTAGCAATTAGTGTGGCGAGATTAAAACAGGAAAGCAAAATGGATTTTAAAAAAGCCATTTGAAACCTTGAAACTGAATGCAGAATGATGCAAAACATACAAAGACACACACATGCACGCACACAAATAGCTCTCTATATATATCTTTAGTGAAAAATACCTAGACGTTTCTTGGTAGACAATAAAAAACAGACGCTGATTGTCTAAAAAGAACAGATGACGAACTTGGGAAGGCCAAGAATGATGACTTCTTGCAGAAAGGCAATTAGAGCTATATTATGTTTAGTGATTTTAAGAGAGAAAGAAACTCCTTCTATAGAAAGGCTAAAGGTATGTCTGTGAATCAACTGCTCCTGCCAGCATTAGGTACCCAAGAGGTGGGAACACAGAAAAAGATGACCTTGATGTTCAGAGCACATGTTAATCACAGCTCCGCCTCGTGATTCACTAAGCCAGTGGTGGCATTATTCTATGTACAGGCTGGAGCCAGCCCAAGGATTTGACGAATATTTGTAACCTGGGAATGGAGAAACTTTTTATTGTTTCAAGAATGCCAGGCAGTTGGTGCAGAGTCAAAGCTTTATTGTTTCCAGGTTTAAAATATTACAGAACATGAATGGGGAGGGGGGGAAAAAAAAGATCTGCGCAACATCCTAGCAAGGTACGAACAGTTCACACTCCCATCCCCATCTCCTCCCAAAGCCAACTGAAAGCAAGGCAGTTCACTGTTACAGATTAAGGGAAGTACATGCTTTCACACAGAGCTTCATAACACACATGAGTGCAAGCTACATCCTTGGTGGACGAGGCATTGTTCACAGAAAATATGCACGTGCAGCTTTGCAAGTTGCCGTACTGCACGTGGCTGTCCGTCTACATAGACTGGGCCTGATCCTTTACCCACATGGGACAGTGGGACTCTTTTCACTGCCATGTCCTGGATCAGACCATCCACCAGAGATGACTCTGCTGAAGTCAGAATTCCAGAAGTAGGAGGGAGGCAAATGGGTTTGTTGGGACTGACAAGGACCACCGCAGCCACAAATCTGTGTTTGCTTTACCCAAAAGTGTCCGACAAAACGTAACGGGAAGAGAAACATTTCCATGACATAAAACAACCAAACAAAGCAATAAAGATTGTGTAAGGAGCAAAACATTCCCCTGCAACATTGCCCGCATTGTGCTGGGGAGCGAGACCTAGGAGTGAAAGCAACCGTGAAACATGGTAGAAAACTGGCCGGCCTGTTTCCATTGTCCAAGCTGAGTGAAGTGTAACAAGGAAACAAGCAGCATGAAGAGTGACGCATTTAAAATGTACTTCGGTCTTAATGCAAAATGCTGGTAGTAATGCAGAGAAAGAAACAATTAAAAATGGGGTAACCTGTTCAAAAGTGCTTTAGGCCTATCTTCAGAAGCAACTTATGCACGGAGGGTCAAATTTGCAGAGGTTCAGTTAAAAAATGAAGACACGTCTGAGTGAGATTTTCCAAAGACCCTGGGCATCTCTGCATCTTGGTGTGCCAGAATAACTTCAGACATCTGTCCCTTTGGAGTTTCACTGAAAGCCCATGAGATTTAGGTTCCTAAATCAATCAAGTAGTTTTGAAAATGTTAACCTTTGGCCTTATATTTTTCTGGACTAGCTACCAATTTAAGGCACCTGCATTTTGGGATGTCTAACTCGCTACATTTTAAAGAGGCCTATTTTTCAGAAAGTCCTGAGCAACCACCCTCTGAAAACAAAGCTCCATTACGATGTCTCAAGAAGGAGACTTGACATGGATGTCCCTGGAATTGCTAGTTGGTCTCTAGTTAAGTCACAGCCCCCCACCCAACACGCACAGAAGAGGGAGGTTCTCTGAGCCCAGCTGTGGAGCACCCCGACTGATGGCGGGTACTTCAGCTAACACAGTGGGCTGGCCGAATTTTCAAACATCACTTAGGGTACAGAGGTGCCGACTGACAGGTACTTATACCAGCCGTGATGCTGAGAATCGCAACCTCTCCCGTCCATTCATATCTACCATGGGGAGGGGCTCAGCTCATCCCAGTTAAAGGAACTCAGAATTCAGAGAGAACCTAGACTGAAAGTTAAAACCAAGGACCTTAATAGTAGTTCCCATGCAGAACAGCAGCAAGGAAAGCAGCCATGGCAGGGTGCTCTCTGCAAATCCAAAGGGTGATCTGACTGAGTCCTGATATCTGATCACATTTATCTTTGTGCTGGGGCCACTTGGAAAAGTGTGCAGGTGGGAGGGAGTAAGCTGCGAAGGGGATGAAGAATTTATTTAGGGACGAAAGCGGAGTGTTGAGATTCCAAAAGGTAAGGTGACTCGCTCGTGGTAGTGAACTGCTTCTGAAACTATTACCGTTTCCTGGGCAGAACTCTTGACATCTCTTGCATCTTTAGCAGAATTATGAGACTGGTTCAAAGCCTTTCAGAGGCAATCAAAAGACTCCCACTGAGCTCCAGTTGCTGACTCACGTTACAGGAGTTGTGTTTGGCTTCATGATGTGGGCCAAACACTGGAGAAAGAGCTGAGTCCCTAGAAAGGATGGGAAGGGAGGGAACTCCCAGCCTTCCCCAACATTAAATAGTGAATACAAGTGCAACCAGCCAGATGCCACCTAAGACAGCACTGGAAAAGGGCAGAATGGGCACCTGGGTCACACAGGATTGCAGGACGGCAAGAACACACACACTTTGACAAGGGAAAACATTTAGCCAAGTCACCTATCAGCTGGCAACCAAATGGACTAGCCAGGGCATGGTTTGGACTTCCCACTGAATGGTCTGAAACATGCAGTAGTTGACACGTACAAAGAACTCACGATATCAATGTCTACACAGCGCCCTTGGAACAAAAACCAGAAAGTAGAGCAGGAGACGGCAGAAGAGGTGGGGGGGCTGCCTCATGCCAGTGTTGCTCTCCTGAGTAAATCAATCACCATCCCAATGAGACAGCCATGTCCAGTGGGAGGAAAGAGGAGCACAGCTGCACCTGCTTAAAGGGAGGCCCAGATTAAAAACAAGAAATCCAGTAATAATAGTGCTATTAATAAATACTTGGGGTGAAACCCTGGCTAAGTAGGAGCCAACAGTAAACTTTCATTGACTTCCTGAAGGCCACGGTTTCACCCTGAGCGCTTTACTGGGTGAAGCCCACCCCAGGCCAGAGAACCAGAACAAGGGCTCTGCACACTTATGCTCTCACTCAAGAGCATTGCTGGGATGTAAAGGGATGAACAGACCTTTGCCCTGGGTGGATGCTACTCAGGCAGTGCCTTTCATCCAAGGCTCCCGAAGCACTTTCTCACAGCGGACAATCCTCTTGCCCCCTCCAGTTTGCAAACAGGAAAACCCCAGCCAGGACACAAGGCGGATGGCTCAAGGCTGCTTTATGAGGCAAGAGTACCACGCAGGTGTGCTGACTCCCAGTCCAGTGCTCCTCAGGCCTCCCTGCCACGATGTGCTGAGATAGCCTGTAGGGAGGCAGGCTAAGTGTGGGGCTCTTCATTCTGGAGAGCAGAGGGAAGGAAGTTTCAGCAGACATCTTCACACTCAGTTGCCTGGGTACTATGGTGTCACCTGCTCCAGTCCTCTCTAGGAGCATCCCTCTGAGCCAAACATCTCCCATTCTTCGTCAGCTGGCAGGAGGCAAAGCAAATGACTATGGCAAGAGGACAGCAACACCCAGTGCCATGCAGCATAGTGTAACTAAGGCCTATAGGAATCCTGGCATCCCAGGGGCCACAGAGGGCCAGGGCCACATAATCCATGATGAGAATACGGGACTGGACGGGCGAGACAAGATCCAGGTCCAGCTGCAAGATTCTGACTCCCATCAGCGGCGGGGGCTTGTGTGGAGGCGCCGTTTGCCTTGAAAACAAATGGAGAGACAGGTTTGTGTGCTGGTGGGAGGGGGCAGATGCTCCAGACAGTTACTTCCCATTGCCTGCTTTTCCTTGGTGGCACTTTAGAAGCTCGCTAAAAATAATAATGCATAGAAGGGCCGTGGATCATAACGCCGCATGCTGTCAGCAGTCAGGGCCCATTAAACTTTATTAAAGTCAAAAGAGATGGGAGATGAGGGAAAGGAAATGGAGGATGGCAGAGAAAGCAGATTTCTTACTTGCATATGAAAACTGGCCCTGAGCTTCCTCCTTCACTAAAAGGGCCAACCTTACAAAGTACAGGGAGGGTGGGTGTTTAACCCCACTCAGGATCAGGCCCTGTTGCTGCCAGTGTTCCT